TTATATATTTATATGCTGTCCCTTTCCTTCAGTTGAACATTAAGTTCCTTGAGATCAGGGACTGTTTTGTTTTTGTCTTTGTATCTGCAGCTTCTTCCACTGTTCCTGGCAAATAAATGTTTATTGAATTGGATGATTAGTCCTTACAACAACCCTGTAAGGCAGGTAGCACAAGTATTATTATCTCATTTTTACAGATGAGTAAAATGAGGCTCTAAAAGGTTTAGTGACTTACTCATGGTCACACAGATAATTAAGTGTCTGAGCAGAAATTTGAATGTAGATCTCCTAACTCCAAGTCCAGCTTTCTGACTACTATGTTGTGGTGCTTCTAATAACAACAGTGTGGTGATTTGTACGTATATGACGAGGATTGGCTATCTTCACATTGAATACGCATAGACTATATTCTTTGGTAAATGTCATTGGTTTTTTGTGCCTAGTTTGATACATTCTCTCCTCTTGTCCACAGAAAAGAGAGAGATAGGAAAAAAGCCAGGATTTTGGGGGACTTAACTGGACCTTCTGTAGAGGCTACCCTTATTTAGTTCCCTAGGCACCAATGGGGGAAGGCTTGAGGATGTTTTTTTAAGGAATATAGATGGATGCCAGTATATGGAGATAATCTGCATACAGTAGGCACTCAGTGAATGTTAACTCTTGACCATGATTATATATCTATGTTCAGTCATGCCTATGTTGGCACGAGTGTGTGCACATGTGCCTGCTTCTCTCTAATTCCCTGGGCATCCAATTGAATGTGCACTTTTGTGTGTGCATGACTGCACACACAAATCCCCAGGACTGTCCTCTCCCCATTTCTGAGAAACCGGCATCCAGATCATAAATGAGGAATAATCTCCAGGGACCTTAGGTTCTTTTCCAGTTTGTGCAGGAGAGGGGAAAAGGCAATGCGTGACTGACATGCCAAAGTACCTAGGGTCATAGGAGCAGCTCCCCTGTCAGGAATTCGGGCTTTCCCTCCTATACCCTGGGTATGGGTCAGGGGTCAGCAAGAACCAGGTGAAAAAAACTGTTTTAGACCCTTCAGAAGGTTAGGGGAGAGAGCAGATGACCCATAGAGGGTCTGACCAGCCAAGGCTTAAGGGAACTAAGATGTCTCATGTTTGGAAGTCCCCTTGCTGAATTGGACAGAGAGGGGAAAGAAGGGCTTAGGGGATCAAGATTGCAAGTCAATGTTGCTATAACTACCACCCAACCAGCCCTGAAGTGAAGGGATACGAAAACAAGGGCCTCTCCAGAATTTAACCACTGAGAAAGCAAGGAATTCTGGTAAGAGTGGTGCAAGAAGAAGGCTGAAGTTTCACCTCAGCTCCATTCTCAGCTTTTATGGGTGGGGACCCATCATTCCAGAGCTGGATTCTTCCCTGTCAAGTAAGAGGATGTGAGAACTCTACTCCCTCACTCTTGTCTGGGCATGGATAGGTAAAAGCCCCAGGTTTGAATCTTGGTTCTGCTACTTACTGTCTGTGTGACCTTAGGCAAATCACTTGCATATCTGAGCCTCAGTTTCCTCATCTCTAAAGGAGCGGTTGGACTAAATTATCTCTCTGGTTCCTTTCACTTCTAAGTTCTAAATAATCCTATGACCCATTCTTCATTGCCTGACTTTAGGAAGGCATCAACCCTGGCTCTCAGCAATCCTCTATAAGTGCTTGTCAAGAAGCCTCTTTAACCCAGAAGAGAATAGCTATCTTTCCACCTCCAAGGCAGTCAGTCCCTAGATTGGGTGTTTAGGCCCTGGCTGCTCCTCTCCTAGGGCAGAAGCCTTAAGATCTCCCAATCCATCTTCCTAACACTGATGATGCTGTATTTAATCATTCCTAACTTCATTCAACAAGTATTTATTGACTATCTCTTACAAACCAGATAATTAATATTGTCCCCTCCATCTCTATTTCCTGACTTGCAGTTAGAATAGATCTTATTTTCCACATTAAAATTGAAAAGTTTATCCTCAGAATTCCAAGATGGGCCTTTCCGCCAGTCTGTTCCTAGGTCTGGGTTCACACATTTCCCTCCCCCTTTTTTTCTCCTCTTAATCATACATTGAACTTGTGTTCCATCTGCTTCCCTCCCCAATAAAATTTCTCAGGAAAAGGCCTTACTATTTAGTCATATATACCTTAATGAATCAATAATCAACAGGTATTTGTTAAGTAAGCACTTACTATATACCAGGCACCATGCTAAGCCCTGGAGATAGGAAGAAAAAGTTAAAACCATTCCTGCCCTCCAGGACAATTCAACAACTCTGTTATAATGTGGACAATTACCAGATACATGGACAACATGTAAATAAATACAAGCTACATGCAAAGTAGACAGGAAGTAACTTGAAGGGAAAGGCATCAACAGAATGGGGGTAGAGAAACTGGAAAAGGCCCCCTGCAGAAGGCAATGTTTTCAGCAGAGTCCTGAAGGAAGTCACGGATTCTAAGAGGGGGAAGGTGAGAAGAGGAGAGACAGCATTCCAGGCATGGGGGACAATCACGTTCAAAAGCACAGAGATGAGAGTTGGAGAATTCTGGGGGAGAATGTTACATCAGCCAGTATGGATAAATTGGAGAGTGTGTGGAGGGCAATTATAATAATGTCAATATGCTTCTTGATTTCGTGGAACCTTAGAATATCAGATATGGAAAAGAAATAAAAGATTACATAGTCAAACCTCTAAATTTTACATAGGGGAAATGGAACCCTAAAGAGAGAAAGGAATGGATCTGCCCAGGTTGTGCAATGAGTTAGGCCTGGACTAGAACCCAGGCTTCCTGACTTCCAGAGGACAAGGCTTCTAGGTATATAAGCAAGGCAAGCAGACACCCAGAATATAGCACAAAGGAGAATGTGCACGTGGTGAGGAGGACTTTTAAATGTGACTTTTAATAAAAGCATGTATTTTTAATGCCTGAAAATTCCTCTCTCCAGGGCACGTATTTATTTTGTGTTAGGTACAGTTGTGTGTTAATCATGCAGGCTCAAAGCTTTCTGATGGTGGCAGGTTGGGGGAAGGGCAATCATGTACAGGAGGTACCATTTTCAAACCTTGTCCAGATTACAGATGCATTGTCCCAGCTCTGTCCAATTCTCTAGAGGCCAGGGTAATTTGCATAATCAGCTCAATCTCTGCTTGTCTCCTAATAAAGAGATTGCATGCCCTTCAAGCAGTGAGAGGAGGGTGGGTATCCTTCTCTTTCCCCAGGGGTCCTCCAAAGCTGAAGGCAGAGTGTCTGGTAGGGTGAGGAGTGGGGTATCCATGCCTAGTCCGAGGAAAGAGTTGCAAGCATGACCCTACATCTGAAATTATGGCCGGGGCACACTACCCACTCACAAAAGAACCTTTGAAATCTCCCGCTGCCTGGCCTGGAGTTTTTGGAGCATAAGATAGAAACACCTCTGCTGCTGCTCTCTGCCACCCCAATCTTTGATATTTACCATTTACTGCTTCACTCAATGTTATTTACATTCATAGGATCATAGATTCAGAACTGGAATAGATCTTAGAAGTCATTGAATCCAGCATTATAGATGAGAGAATGGTGATTAAGTGACTTTCCCAGGGTCACAGATAGTAAGTGAGTGAGGCTGGATTGGAACCGAGGTCTTCCTGATTCCATGCTCTGGTATTTTTACCTTCTATTCCCCCGTATTTGCTCCCACTCTGATATTTGCCCCAATTTCTTGCCTTTTTTATGTGCCTTGTTATTTTTTCCATCTCCTGGTATTTACTCAGTTCTGTGTTACCTCATTTACTCTTATTTACTCCTCATGTCCTAACATTTATCCCTATTCTCTGCTCTTTGCTCCTAGTCTAATATTTTGGGTTTTGGCATTTTTTTCATCCAACTTTTTGACATTTGTGCCTTTTTTCTCATATTTGACCCCTTTCCCCAGTATTTGACATGATTAACTTGCATTTAAACCCTTCCCCCATTCCCTGGTATTTGCTCCCATATTATGCTACTTGCCCTATTTTCTAGTTCCTTCCTCTGGTATTTATTTACCTCCATACCTGATTTTTCATTTCCATCTCTTCTACACCAGAAAAATGTCCCTAAGGTATGCTGCTTGTAGGAGAAGCCACACTCACCCCCCTGTGCCCCATGTCTCCCTCTTATCCCTGCTGGGCATCCCTTAACAAGGAAGGATCCTTTCTGATTTATAGCTTCCTGGTCAATGGAGTCTTCCATGGTGCTGAATGACGGAAGTCCTGCAGGAGAAAAGGGCCAGAGGCTAGGGCCTAGTTCCTTGGCTGGCTGGTTGGATTCTGGATTGGGTGTTATGAGAGTGCATCCATGTCATCTGGATCTGGAGGGGTGAAAGGCTGTCCCCCCCATCAAACCACAATCCTGCATGCCATCGGAAAGGAAGGATCCTCTCCCTCTGTCCCTACCCCCCAGCTATGAGTCATTTGGCATGCTGTGTGGGTTATTACTTTGTGTTTGAAATCTCCATGGCAACCAGCTGGCAATCAAGGGTAATTGTGCTGGTCGCCTGGGCAACCGGGGCAAATCCCAGAGAAGAAGCAGTTCCTTGGGCCCCCAGGGTTCCGGATAGTTGTCCTTTATGGAGGGGAAGAAGACAGATTGACATTTCTTGGGGTGCCACTATCTTTGCGTTCCCAGAATCAGGAGCTGAAGGGGAAACTCAGCCTGCTTAGGCTAGGCTAGGCTAGACACTAGGTCTGTTGGTGGGAGCCTGTATTTTCCTCTCATATCTAGTGGGGATTGAAGGATCTTTGACTCCAGATAGAGAGGATGGAGTGGAATGGGGAAGACTGATTGTGTCACCAGGTAAGATAGGGAAAGGAAGAGAAGATCCCCTATTCAGCAAGGTTGGAGCATTTAGTAGCAAGGACATGGCATTATGTCTCTTGAAGCCTCCCCACCCTACCGCAACTGGAATCCTATGACCCCAACAGATATCAGAGACCCAGAGCCCTCTCTGACTTCCAGAGTAACTTTATACTTTCAGGACTATCACAGGTGGTACTTATAGATGGCCCACGGGCCCTCTTCCTGGTATTCCCCACGGCTCAACCACAGAGTCTGGAAGGAATCAAGGGAGGCGATGATGGAGCCACCTAACCAGGCAGCCATGGCACGGTGAGGCAAGGATAAGACTGTGGCTGTGGGCCCCAGATCCTGCTGGACCCTCTCAGAGAAGCCATTCAGCAGGGTGGTCCCACCTTCCAGAACCACATTAGCCAACAGTTGTTCCTGCAAGTGTGGCTCCAGCTGGCTAATGCTAATCTGGGCCAGCTGCGGTAGACTGGGCTGATCGAGGCCCAAGATGTCCGGTTTAAACAAGACCTCAGGGCAGCAGAACCGTTCAGCCCCAAGGGAGAGAACGTGCTTGTCTGGGAGTACAAAGTCAAGCCGAGACTTGTCCTCTATTTGGCAGAGTTCAGAGACCATGTCAAGGGTCACATAACAGCAGGTCTCCTTCATGTGAGTTAGCACCTCAGCCTTGGGTGGTGGCTGCCCACCAGCCAAAAGCAGCTGGGAGAGGTATTCGGAGAGATCTTTCCCAGCCACATCCAGACGGTAGACGTTCAGTGGTGCCAATTCGCCTGTGATGATGGGAGCCGCATAGGAAGTGCCATGCCCACTACCTATGACCAGTCCTGTGATGCGACCATAGGCATAGAGGGTGAGTAATGCCTGATGGACAGTTTGCATGGCAGGCACCCCAAAGCCTTCAAATAGGAGCTCAACGACCTTCTCACGATTGGTACAGGGAGAGACTGGTGAATCAGCTACCAGTACAGCCAGTTCTTCAGGTGCCACGCATAATTTGCTGTAAAAGATATGGCTCCAGAGGGCTTCAAGGGCATCCCAGTCAGTAACCACACCACGGATCAACATAGAGCAAGCTGCCTCTATGTCCTCTGTGATGTAGTAGGGTGTTGTGTCCCCTTTGGGGTTTCGGTGTATCCCCACCCGAGTAGGTACTATGACGCGTGTATGATCCTCGCCTGCCAGACCACACTTGCTATAACCTGTTCCTGTGTCTATCACCACAGCAGCCAGGCTTTTGTAGAGGTCTGTTGTATGGCAGGAGGTCATGTGGGCAGGGGAACGCTCTTGGAAATCAGCTCCTGAGGCCAGTTCAGAACAGGGTCCTCGGAATGATTCAAAGTGGTTGGTCATTGTATGGTTTTCACTTGAGTCAGTGAGGGAATACTTGGTATAATTAGACCCCTTGTCCACCAGAGCCATGGGCAATGTCTTATAAGTGGCCCCAGGGTAGTAGTAGGTGCCGATGGACAGGTTCTTATCAGAGGATTTTCTGTAGCTGGCACTGCTGGCTCTACCCCATGAGGTCTTGGTGTTAATATTCTGACTTGTCACACCCTGACTCATCCCATCCTTTCCAGAATAGAAATGGGTTTTTGGTGAGAGGGGCATCCTTAGTGCACCTCCATGTGTGGACAGAAGCACAGATGTACCTTTGTTTTGCATTGATGGTTGGGTAGAGCCCATGCTGTAGGTCACCGTAGTTGTACCTAATTCCTTGTGGAAGAGGGGAGCACGTTGGAGGGACTCAGTGTTTTTTCTGGGGACTTCAGTTATATTAGAAACACCCCTTATCATACTGCTCTCATAGGAATAGACAGTGAACCCTTCCTCTCTGGTTGAGCCATAGGAGGTTGATTCCTCGGATTGGCTTTTGAGTGTGGCACCTTTGTTGTGCTCCATAGTCACTGACCTCTTGGAGATGTCTGATGATCAGTAGGTTTGTGGGGCCAAGAAGGAGAGTGTAGGATTCCCCTTGTCTGATGTTGCCCAGGGACAGCAGGTTTCCTTCTGGTAGGTTAGAATACTTTGTCCAACAAAGTAGGGTGGCTCCAGGGGTATGTGACCACTAAGCAGTCCAGTTTTTGTGGGCACAAGAGTAATAGACCTGCCCTTCTCTTCCAGATTTGCATTGCTGTTCCTTGTCACTGACTTTGTGATTTTCCTGTCTGTGACCTTAGATGTCTGGGAGGGACCAGGGAGGGTGGCCCAGGGTTGGACTTTGCTGGGAAGCTCAACCTGCTGGGACTCAATGGTCAGGGTGGTTGGAGATCGGGAGCAGACCACATTGTCCATGACATAAATGGGCGGTGCCCCTGGAGTAAGGCTCTTGAGGTTGTCCTTGCAGTGATTCTCCCTATGAAATTTAGTTCCTTCACACACAACCCCAAATTTGGTCTCACAAGTGCATATGTCTATTATCATGCTCTCCTTGTCTGACTGGCAGGAGCCCAGGGTACGGGGAGCCTGAAATTGAGGGGGCTGCCTAGAGCACAGCTCTCGACCATCCATGCTGCATGTGGCCATGGGGTAATTGGAGACTTTTTTGTCTCTGATGTAGATGGCCTGGTTCTCAAGGTTGGAGTCCTATATGAATTCTTTATTAGTAGATACCATGCAAAGGTCTATGTCTTTGTTGTCCACCCCAGCCTTGGTGGGGATGACGACAAAAATAACTTTTGGGTTCAGATTTTGGGAGTAAGTGAAGCTTGGATTTTTGAGGTTGGATTTCTTGATGGTTTTGGTTCCACTGGAGAAAATGTTGTACTTGGGACCAGAATATATGGTAATCACTCTCTCCCTAAAGTGGTCTGGGGGATCTTTAGGGATGGGCATCCTGTTTTGGACACTGTCATGGGCAATGTCATGGACACCACTGGAGGCACTGTCATAGGCACTACCATGGATACCAGTGACATTGGTGTGGGTACCATGGGCACTTTCATGGACAACATAGGCATTGTCACGTTCACCATCAAAATGGCCTGCTTCTCCAAGTGTTGCCTGTGTCAACTGGATGGAACCGACCTCTAACCTGTTATTCTGACTGCTCCTTAACCAGTAGAAGAAAATTTGGTTTGTTCTAGGACTGGCAATGTTTAGCCTTAGGCTCCCAGTTTGACCTTGAATGAGTGCCCCATGAATGAGTGAGGCAGAATTGAACTGTCTATTGTCTCCAACAACATTGACCTGTCTTTCATGGCCCGAGTTGACTTGTATTCCAACCAGTAAAGACTCTGCCTAGTTCCTTGATTTCTTCTCCCTTCATAGGAAAGCTCTTAGGAGCAACTGCTCGCATATATTGCTGCTGGTTTTGATCCTAGTAGGTTTCACTTGGTTAGAATGGGCATAGTAGTGGTAGCAGTTTTGTAAGACTGGATGTGGCTGGGGGATGAGTTTTTTGTAGAGGCCTCTTAAATGGATGTCCAGGTGCAAAATTGGTCCTGACTTCCCTTGCCTACATCAGCAGACCCTCATGCTTGTGGGTCCATCCTTCCCATCGACTCTAAGCTAGTAAGGAGGGTACGCAGATATTTTTCAATGTTCTCTGAAATAGCTTCAGCTCCCACCCTGCACCTATAAGGTTAGGCCCAGTTTGGGTCATTGCTCCACATATCTGATCCCAGTAGCCACTCCTAGGCTGCCGCCAGGGGCCAGGGGAGTAGGCTTTGGCTTTCTGTATAGACTCCAAAATGGGGCCTGCAGACCTACAATTACAAGGATCAGTGCCTGGGGCTGTGGCCACCTCAGGCTACTCTCCAGAACACTGGGGATTCAGGGAAAAGGGCTTGGTTACTGGTGATGGGGAATGCTTTCCTGATAGATTCCATAGATCTTGCAGGCTCTCATCTTATTTTTTTAAAAATAGTATTTTGGTGTTTTCCCAATTACATGTAATTTTATTTTTTCCCTAATTGCAAATAAAAACAATTTTTAATATTCATTTTTTTATTTTGAATTCCAAATCTCTCCCTCTCTCCCGTCCCTGAAGAGGTAATTTGATATGCGTTATACATGTATAATCATGCAAAATATATTTCCATATTATGTTGTGAAAGTCATGTTGTGAAACACAGACCAAAAAAAAAACCTATGAAAAAATAAAGTGAAAAATAGTATGCTTTGATCTGCATTCAGACTCCATCAGTTCTTTCTCTGGAGGTGGATAGCACTTTTCATCATGAGTCCTTGGGAATTGTCTTAGATCATTTCATTGCTAAGAATAGCAAGTCATTCACAGTTGATTAACCTTACGATATTGCTGTTACTGTGTACAATGTTCTCCTGGTTCTGCTCTCTTCACTTTGCCTCAGTTATTTAAGTCTTTCCAGGTTTTTTTGAAATTATCCTGCTCGCCACTTCTTATAGCATAATAATATTCTATTACAATTTGATGCCCCAGTTCAGCCATTCCTCAATTGATGGGCATCTCCTCAATTTCCAATTCTTTGCCACCATATGAAAAGAGCTGCTATCAATATTTGTGTACAAATAAGTTCTTTTCCCTTTTTTAAAAAAATCTCTTTGGGATACAGATCTAGTGGTGGTATTGCTGAATCAAAGGGTATGCACAGTTTTATAGCCCTTTGGGCATAGTTCCTCCCAACAATGTATTAGTGTCCCACTTTTTTCCACATTCCCTCCAACATTTGTCTTTTTCCTTTTCTGTCATATTGGTCAATCTGATAGATGTGAGGTGGTACCTCAGAATTGTTCTAATGTGCATTTCTCTAGTTAATAGTGATTTAGAGCATTTTTTTCATATGACTATAGATAGCTTTGATTTCTTCATCTGAAAACTCAGGATCCCTCTCTTTATGGCTGCCCTATCCAACACAACCCTGGCAATATTTCACATCACAGCCTTAGGGCGGATGAGGGCAACAGCTCCTAGGGACCAAGTGTCCAGCTGGAGGTATTGGAGAACCCAAATTTTTCTTTCCCGAGATAATGCATGTGGCAGAACCCAGGGATAGCTTCTTGGGAGAGGAAAGACCTCGTGTGGCAGATCGGTGGGAGTGGGTGAGAATGCAACCTTCAGTAGGTCCTTGCAATGGCCCAGCAGTTTGTGTTCCCTGTTTCAATTATAACCCAGGGAAAAGGAAGGAAGAGCAAAGAGTAGGGTGCCATGTATATGACTCTCTGATCTACTGAGATTCCAGTGGCAAGACTCCCAAAGCATCTCTCTCTGTCCCTTCTCCAACCTTCAACACCCCACCAAGAAAAATATGATAATGGCCTCTATTTTTCTTGTTATTTTAAGGTTTACTTTCTTCAACAATGACCCTGTGAGATAGGATGTGAAAGTAAGGAGGAAAATGAAATGACTTGTTCATTCACAAAGCCTGGGAGCTGGTCCTGAATCCAGGCTTCAAACCCAAATATCAGTACTCACCCAATAAAGGTGAGGTATGGCCAAGAGAGTATGTTGAATAAGGTACCTTTGCTAGAATTCTTTTCAAAGTGTCCCGCTTCCTCATGTAACATGTAGATCCATTAATATTTGACGAATTGAAGAGCAAGAAAAGAGAATTCTGATTCTCTCTACCGGCTCCTTCCCAAAGGGTGAGATCCCCTCCTCATAAGGTTAACTCTTTGACAAGGTGTAAACTTGCATTGTCCTAAGCTGGAAAAGAGTTGTTTGCTAATTTAGGATGATTTCATATACTTGAACTGTGTAAGCTTGGGCTTGGTCTTCAAATGTGGTCCAGAACCTAGAAATAAGGGGCAGCTAGGTGGCACAATGGATAGAGCACCAGCCCTGAAGTCAGGAGGACCTGAGTTCAAATCTGGCCTCAGACCAAACACTTGACACTTACTGGCTGTGTGACCCTGGGCAAGTCGTTTAACCCCAATTGCCTAAAAATAAAATAAAAAAATAATAATAGAACCTAGAAATATCAGAGAATTGAAGACATATATATATAGAGAGAGAGGAAAGGCTACTTGCAGATTCAGACTGGGTTTCCTGGAGAAAAACAGGCATATATCTAAGGAACCATGTGAATTGAAGAAGTGGGAAGGGAGACTATTAAGTGCCTATTATGTGCTAGGCACTGCCTAAGTACTTTATAAATATTATCTCACTGGATCCTTATCACCTGGAGAGGTAAGTACTATTATTATCCTCATTTTACAGTTGAAGAAACTAAGGTGGACAGAAGTCAAATGACTTGCCCAGGGTCACACAGCTAGTAAGTACCTGAGTCTGAATTTGAACTCAGCTCTTCTTGACTCCAGGTCCAGCACTTGATAGCGTGCTGCACTGCACCACCACCTGCCAATGTCAGGTGAGGAGGACTTAGAGGGAGAGTTTCTGGACCAAGTTTCTGGACCAAAAAAGAACTGAAACAGGGAAGTAAGGGCCTGGAGCCACAATGCAGAGCAGCCAACCTGGACCTTGCGAGTTATGAGCACTGCACATGGAAAGGTAAGGCAACACCTTTATTGGTTCTGGGTGCTTTTGGCTTTTTAGGGTGGGAGGGGAGAAGAGACCTACCTAGGGTAGTCCTATAAGTCTAGACACTTGTAAATGTCCCTAAGAGACAAAGACTTACTGAAAGGGATGTGGGGGGCCAGGGAGCAAAGTTGTCATGACTATTTGAGGACTTGAGTGCTAGTTCTTCGTTGTTTATTTTTGTCACGTTAACCAAAGCCCATCACGTGTTTGGCGTTTTGTTAGCCTGAATGCTTTCATGGGGGCTGAGAGAAACCAGTGGGCTGGAGAGCCCTACCTCTTCTTGGGGCAATGCTGATTTATCAAAAACAGCATCTGGGAGGTAAGCTACTTACCCCTCAAAATCAAGGGTGTGATGATGGAGGAGTGTGCACTTTAAAGAGTTCACTGCAGCGTTCAATGATTCCAGCTGCACGGGGAGAGTTTAGAAGATGGAAGATCCAGATAATATGATGGTGGTGGGCCTAGTCTCATGTCTTCTTCATGGTAAAATGGATGCTCGGTACAGGGTGGGCAGAGAAAGGCACAAGGAAGACAGTTTTATTCTGTAAGAGCTTTGTGGTGGTTGGCCTGGTGGCAGACTTAACTGGCACTGCAATCCTGTGTCCTCAATAAGATCCCCAGTTGTTAAGGCAGGGCAGCTAGGTGGTTCAGTAGCTAGAATGCTAGGTCTAGAGTCAGGAAGACCTAAGTTCAAATCCTGCCTCAGACATTTACATGACCCTGGGCAAGTTACTTTACCCTCTTTGCCTCAGTTTCCTCACCTGTGAAATAAGCTGGAGAAGGAAATGGCAAAGCGCTCCAATATCTTTGCCAAGAAAACTCCAAATGGGGTCACAAAGAGTCAGACATGACTGAAACAACTGAATCACGACAAAAGCTGTTGAGGTAAACCTCTCACCCTGAGATGGGGGAAGAGGGCCAATATAATCAGTTTACAAATTGGAGGCCAGTCAAGAAGAAGATCATGTTGTACTGAGCTTCCAAAGGCAGATGTTCCAGCTGCCAAAAGGAGCATCTTTACAGAATCATGGTTCCATGCCATTGATGTACCATCATGACCCCCACA